AGACACTGGACAGTAACTGAGACTTCTTATTCTCACAGGCACTGAACATATGCATCTCACTTGAAATTTAAGAAGTTCAGGATTCTTCTGGTTGTGGGGAAATAACAACTCCCATTGCTGGGCTTCAGAAAATGGAACTGGATTCTTTTTGTCCTTCCCATAAAACATTTTAGAACAAAAAATACTATTCTAGTTGTTATTTTGGAGCTAACTATCAACTTCTGCCTTAGTAGGGGAAAAAAAAAAAAGAGATGGGGGAAAATTATACTGGAGATACTGGAAGCAGAAAGTACTTATCATTGTAAAAGAACTGGAGTAGACAATCCTCTTAACAAGCAGTGTGACGTTACTTACTCTTTGAAAAAGCCATCCTGACAGGGTTAACTCAAGGGAGATTAATTTCATGGAAAACCATTAAAATAAAGCTAACTCTAGCAACCGTTTGTCAAAAGTACCAGAAGCAAATAAAAATTCAGAAAATGAGCTAGTTTTTCTTGACTCCCATGAGGCAAAAAAGCAAGAAAAATCCCACACCCTCCCTTTTTTTAACACTTAGAAAGCCCCTGATTAGCTCATGCACATTGCCCCATGTAACAACTGTGGAATGGAAAAAAAAGCCACCAAGTTCTGCAGGTATCAGACCTCTCATCCATAGGTATCTATGGATTAGAAATGAGAGAAGGGGTTTGTTAAAAATAAAGCGCATCATAAAGTTAATAGGAGCAGAGACAATTTTTTTCCCCTCAGGGTTAAAAGTTATAAAGCTTTAAAAAGTCCTGTATACAAATAACAAGTTTGCACACTTCCAAAGCTGAAATTACATTCCATAAGGTAGGTCTGCTGAAAGAGTTGAAGGAAGTTGACCCATTATGAAGAATACTCTGATACAGGAAGAACTGGAGGCCTGAGAATCGCCAAAATCACACAGGTTTTCAAAGAAACCAAAGCTCCTGTCACAATGCCCTGGGAACACAGATGAAAACAGGCTAAGTCTCCTTAGCAGATGCCTGTTGATGAAAGCATTTTGGAGGACTCTGTAGGAGTGAAGGAAAGGATGGTAGAAAGGTCTTTTAAATGCCTGGGCAATGCAAAAGGAGAGAAACCAAAAAATCTGGGCTCGTGTTAATTTTTATGGATTCTGCTAAGGTTAGATATTCTTGATTTATTTATTTTAGTCCCATTAACTGCTCATTTCAATTTAAGTCTTCAGTTTAGATATGACAACTGTTTTCAGGTTAAGATGAGAAAGGTAGAGGGAGCCTCCATGAGTCATTTTAGGCTGAAAACATACAGCTGCTCTTTGAATATACACATCACAAAAAAAAAGCACCTATCACCCCAGCCTCTGTGAAAGCCCCTAAAGTGCTTCCTTTCTGCTGTTAGCACTCACTGCTCAGTGGCAACAAGGAAAGTAATTAAGGTGTGTGCAGGAAGCTAAATGACTACTACATTTTTTTCCCTATAAGACATACCAAAATTTCTCTATAGCAAATGGATTACTTTTCAGAGGGTGCATATCCAGGAGGACAAAAAAAAGTTTGAAAAATATTATGGTGTTGCTTTGGAAGCTAGAAAATATCCACAGTTTTCTCACTATTCCTGGTACAGGAAGGTTGTGTAAGACGTCCCTGTGAGCAGAACTGATGTAGGTGTTTAGTGCTGCTTAAAAGTCAAATTCGGAGAAGTGATCCCCGCTTCTTGTAAGTGTACCAGGAAGTTCATCTCCATGAGCGACAGCAGAGGGCTTCCATCAAAAAGCGTTACATTTCTGTTCCCCCTCACTGTACCAGCATAGCTTGTTTGTATAAAAGCATAAGCAAGAGGCTTGTTCGCGTGAGGAAAGGCTGTGTCTGTGCACGCACTGTGATTACGGGCGTTCAGTAAACGCAAAAAGAAACCCAGCTACATTTTACTGATTTTAGTAATTTAGAAAGATGTTTCCTTCTTTCATTATATCCCGTTTTCTGCACAGCTCTCTGTATGTTTTCTTTCTTTGTGTCTGCTCTGTGCTTTGCCAGTGCCATTCAGTTTCTCTGCTGTGCCCAGGTACCACTTGTGGGTGCGTTCTGCCTGTAGTTATCTTCACTCTCCCTCTTCTCCTTACTGTTGCCCAGGGCCTTTTTTTTATTTTTTTCTCCCCAAAATGACTTGAGTTCTCTGATCTAAAGAGGGGAGATTTGGGTGCCGAAAGCAGGACGGAGAGCATCCCTGTGAGCGCAGAGCTTTGCCTTCAGGGCTGGAAGCTGTCTGGCGCCATTGGCTTTCCTAGGCTGCCAGAGATCCATTGTGCTGACTCAGGTCCTCCTCACGCCACTGACCACCTTCCTTCCAAACCCTTCTGCTGTCTGGGGCCTCATGGTGGGCAGGCCGTTCGGGGCGTTGCAATCCTGCAGCTCAGAGAGCCAGTACAACATGTATCCTCCCAGTGTTGTCCTGTGACCACCTCCTCCCTCCGCCCAGTCTAAAACATGTCGGAGAAGCAATGGAGGTGTGGGGCTTCACCTTGCTTCAGGGAAAGGCAAACCAGACCGGACACATGCCTCAAAAACAATTACTAAGAAGTAGTCATTCGGACTTTCTATCTCAGTTTTTAGTAAGACAGTTCTCCCAGGCACAAGGGAAATAAATCACTTTAATTTGGCACTTCTGTTAAGGCCTTGCATTAACTTTAACCTTTTAACATCATTACACTGGGATTCAGAGAAGAGCACCCTTCCTTTGGCAGCCAAGGAAGAGAGTCAGAGCACTGATCAGGGGAAGTGGCGGCCTGGGCATTTGTACCCACAGCTTCTCATGTCCTAAACTGCTTTTTCAGCAGCTGAAGCTTCTCCAGGTGCAAAGAAAGGCCTTCTTAATTTCTGTCTAGTAACTAATATTATATAAATTTTAAAACAGATTGCTGCTAAAGAAAGAAAATGCTTTTCACGTTCCCATCTCTGAACAGACTAGAGGATCAAAAGAAGTGGCTACTTGTAGAAGTCAGCAGACAGTGGTCATAGTGGTTACTTCAATTAATTAGCCACAGATAACACTTCCTACACTTGGGAGCCCAGTTTGAAATCCAAACCCCTTTTTCAGTAACTTAGTATTCCAGATAATTAAAGAGTTCTCTACATCTAACAAGTTACAGTCAGCATCCAAGCAGTTTCACACAAAATCATGAAGACTGAAGTAATTGGCCATTAAATATCACCCCTGGTGGGGAAAAAAAACAAACACAACAAACACTGTAACAGTAAAAATAACCAGTCCTCAAATTATTAGAGAATTCCTTAAATATGTATGTCCCTTATTAGCATTAACAGATAGAATCAAATTTGTATTAAGCTGAAAATCAAAAGCATTCAGAGATAACCAACAATTCAGAATTAACCTCTTTCAAATATCCAAGACAAAATTAAAAATAAATTATTCTAGTCAAGGTGTTTTGCATGCTGATTTAAAATGTGAATGAATCGGTGATCGGCAGGACTTTTAGTCCACACACTATTGGTATGAGGATTTGCCAGTTTCTTTGTATTGCACCTCATTCCCCACCAGTCTCCTTTACAAAAAAGGTACCCTGCTGTCCCTCTCTTTCATAACTTTGCCTGTTCTTTCATTTTGCCAAGTAAACTAGCATTGCTCCATTTCTTCCGAGGCATCGCTTCCCCCCCTTGCTCAGTATCGCTCACAGTATATATCTTTTGAATCTTTTGTAAAATGTGAAACAATATTTTTTAATTAAAGAAGAGCGAGAACAGTGAATGTAAAATCCGGCTTAGATGTTAAGACTTCAAACTCTTCAAGACAAGGACTGTCTTAATTTTTTTTTGTTACAGCTGCATACAGATAGTTAGTAACACACAAATAAAACAAATAGTGAAAATGTTCACATCACTCCAAACTATCAGCAGAAACTGGGTGAAGTAAAGGTAGGCTGTCCTGCATAATAACATTTCTAGGAGGGAAATAACAACAATAAAACCAAAATAACAATATTTCTAGGAGGGGGGAGAAAAGCAACCCAACAAGGGTTGGCTTGTTCTCCAGCCAACAAGCATTACATACCTCTATTATATACACATCTCATAATAAGTGCATGCAAAATATATACAGAATTCCACACAAAACATTCCTAAAAGGAAGGCAAACTATAGCAGAGCTAACTTTCTCATTTTCCCGTCCTACTCCCAAAATGGAAAAAAAAAGAATGACTTGGCCTCTGGTCCACAGTGCTTTCTTATTATCATGAAAAGAGGCAGGACAGTGATGGCTAGTAAAGTTACTACTGACTAGTAACGGGAAAAAAAAAAACAAATAAACCAAGCACTATGCGATTTAACTTGACAGTGCTGCATTCAAAGAAATGGATCATGGTGTAAATTAATTTGAAAGGAGAGTGGTTCTTCTTACAGGAATATATAGGCATCATCTACTAAGGAGAAAAATAATTGCATTGAAAAACAAAGTGAGAACAAGATCGTTTTAGAAATCAGGTATTTTTGGCTGAGATTAAAACATTCCATTTTCTATTCTTCAGAGGTGTATTAACACTTCAGTTTGCAAGCAACAGTAGGATGGCAAGAAATTAAGAAAGATGTCATTTGAATTAAGGAAGTTCTCTATGGAAGATTATTATTACTGGCTAAGAAAGGGCAGATTTAGGCACAGTGATCTGGAGGCAGAGAAAGCTCTTCAAGAAAATAATGTGAGTTCTTTTGCTTTGTGCTATGATTAGGCATATGGGGTCAGCTGTTACAATGTAAATGTATGGGCCTGTTCTCAAGCATTAATGTTCAAATGATCAGTACTTGTAGCGGTAGGGTCGATATCATTAAATCTAATATGTCCTCATTGCCCATTAACTCTTTCAAAGTAATGAACAACTTTGATAATAGGGTGAATATCAATAAGTTTTGCAATAGAGTAATGATACTGATGCAACTCTATGCTAGTAGTAAAATGCACCTACAGTCCTGGACAGTTTTTTTGTATAACTTGCTGTTCTTCTCTCCTAGGTGGTTGTCTTAATTATTGCAACACAGTGCAAAAATGATCCTGAAGCTCTAATACACATAGGGTACAATAAATTAATTACAAGAAGGATCATTGCTAAGAGGGCAATTCAATGTAACCAGGATGAATACAATTTAGACGATAAGTGTTGCAAGAAATGTGAAAGCGGTGAGTATCGTTATAAGACTATTGAAAAGTCATTAAGAGTGGAAGTCACAACATGTACAATAGCTTTCTGCTGGGATAGCTAAGTGGCATGTTGTGGTTTCCTGGATGCAATGCTGTATCTATTCTAGCTGTATCTTTCTCTGTTACAGAACATCAGACACTTTAAAAGTATTTCTTGAGCTCAGTGCACCAGTAACTTTTCGCTACAGGTAGTAGTTCTCACATAACATGCTTGTCACGAAAGAGCTGAGAATTATATAGACATCTTTGAAAGAGGTTTAAAACGTGCAAGCACAGGCATTTGCCTATGAGACTCCATATAGAATCATGGAATCATAGAATGGTTTGCATTGGAAGGGACCTCAAAGATCATCTAGTTCCAGCCCCCCTGCCATGGGCAGGGAAACCCTCCGCTACACATATATTCATGGATTTTCCAATTTTGCCTGTACAGTTTTGTTTGGTGTGCTCTCCTTCAGTCCTGAATTGGAGGAAGAGGAGGGATAATCAGATCTTATGTATACTACATTCCTGAAGAGCATATATGTATGCATAAAGAATATAGATTCTGTCCATGTTCATAGATCAAAAAGTATTAGAGATTAAAAAGAAAGTCTGACCTAGATCTTAGAGCTGATGGCTTCTATCCAAAAGTATTGCAAATCTTAATTCTTGTTTTTCTGTCTCTGCAGGTTTTGTTAAAAAGACTGACTGCCCAACAAATATTAGTGAACACTGTGTTCCATGTGAAAATGGAAAGGGGTACACAGATCATGTCAATAATTTGGACAAGTGTATGAGATGCTCTTCATGTGACAGCATATTCGGTACGTCTATAAAAATAGCAACTCTAGCAACGACTCTTTTTTGATACAGGATTTGACTGAAAAGTCTCCTCAATCCCTGCACAGTGGGGTAGCATGCAGATTAAAATGTTTTAGTGGTAGTACATGAAGGAATTTATGACAAAATGATAAGCTTATCCCCTGTTCCCTTTTGTCAGGCACAAAGTAGGAAGAACAAGCCATGTTGGTCCGTTATTTCTCCTTGTATCTGCCTTTGCTCAGTCAAAGCAGTCCCTATACAAACTGTTTAGAGTCAAGGAAGAAAACCTCTCTCTCTTCTTTGCCCTTTATTTAAAAGAAGGGTGTTATAAGAAACAGGGATGGGAGAATTCCCAATGGTTTCTTTCATGTAATTAATAACATTATTTAAAATTGCTGGCACTGATAGAGTGATGTCTTTTGTACATGCAAGATGCTGTGCGGGTTACAGAATCAAATTAGGAAACTATGAGGCATGCCCTACTGGGTCAGACCAGTGGTCCACCTACCCTGGTATTCTCCGTTCAGCAGTGGAGGCAAGGGATGCTATTTAGAGAAAACACAAACCTGTCTGCTTCCTGTGGTCTATTCCCTGCAAAGTCTACCAGCATCCACAGCTGTGGGAAAGGACATTAAAAGGCCCATCCCTATCTAGTCATTTTAGTATCCATTTATGAGCCCTTTGTGCATGAACCTGCTGGGAGACACCAGGTTCCAGAAATTCACTACTATTGCATAAATATCCATAACAGATTTTTTTTTTTAAAGTTTTAAATTTTTAACTTATGTCCTACCAGTTCCACCAGGTGTGCTGTAGTTCTAGTATACCTGGATTTAGGGAATCATAGTTCTGCATTCTTCATATCCAAAATCAAGCTTAGTGAGCAGAGAGACAGCTCTCAACTTCAATATGGTTATACTCAGATCACCTGCTGGAATATCAATCTTTAGTGCTTTCCTCTTCCTGTAACACCTCCATATGCATAGAAATTTCTCCTCTCATTAGCTACTATAATAAACATTTTTGGATGGGTAATGAAGTTGAATACAGCGAAACAATTCAGCATCTTATACAGTGCCACAAAGGAAACTATTAGTTATACTAAAGGGGAAAGAAAGGGTAATGGGATGACTAGTCACATTATCTCACAGACAATAATGTAGTTGAAGACAAGTCAGTAGAAAACATTAGGCAGGAGTAAAATTACCACTGAAGTTCCATGAGAACCATTCTTAAGATCATTCATGTTTGATATTTCCATAAATGGCTTCAGCACTGGTTTCACAATAGGGCTTCATCAAATTTTGAAAGATAACATATTTTCCTGTTACAGCAGGGCACTGAATGCAAAAACTCAAAAATTCACTTTTATTCCTATACACCTATGCAAATAGCTTTCATAGTAGGAAGATACTTAAAGTAATAATTAATACGGAAATAATTTTTCATAGATGGAGATAGTGTCATCATATGCACTGAGGATAGGAGAAAATTCATTCACTTTCTTTGATACTTAACAGGGAATACGTTAGCTAAAAGAGAGAGTGGAATTCCTCACCATTGGAGGTCCTCAAGTAAAGATAAACTTGTCTGTCAGGGAGAGTAAAGGACTTGTCTGACATCAAGCAGGGAGACGGGCTACATGATCATCTGAGTTTCCTTCTGGCTTTACACTTCTGAATGGGAAAAAGAAGCTAACTCGTTTGGCAGTGCCAGACGAGTCCTCTTCTAGCAAGTACTTCACTGTGTGATCAGTTTTTGAGCTTCTGGCCCACAGAGGTCTCTCTGCCATCTCCGTATTTCCAGTACTCTGGCAGCAGGGCTCCTAATAAAAGCTATGTTTTTCTTGCAGTTAAGCCTCACCAGTGCCAGCAGTGATAGAGCTAAAAGCACGTAAGTCTGAGGACAAGAGCATGTGAGGCCTTTAAGGCCTACTTTTTCAAACTAACAAACTTCAAGAAATTTATTTTAGGTTTGGAGGTTGCAAAGAACTGCACCCCAGCACGGAACACAGAATGCACCTGTGCAAAAAACTATTTTTGCAATTCTTCTGTCTCATGTCAGCACTGTGATCCATGTACCATGTAAGTTCATGCCTTCATTGTTAAATATGAAATCGTTAATAGCATATGTTATCACTCTTTTTTCCAGCTAGTTTCAAGACAGCAGCTAAGGTAATATATAAGCTAAGGGAAAACGTACTAGTTTTCCTTTGCAATTAGCTTGTTGAGCTGATTTAGCTCAGTCGACTTAACTTGCATCCGTCTAGGCTTTCCCAAGGCATGCAGAAAAACTTGTATACATTCACCAAATCTGTATATGCTTTTCAAAAAAATGTAAGCTTTCCTGTTGTCTTTGTGTGATCTACTGTTACATCTAGAAAACCATTTCCACACCTTTTTCCACTCCCATACCTTTCCATACCATTTTCATACCTATTAAATAATTCCAAACTCCAACATCTTGATATAGGAAATATTTAGCTGATAAAAAGTGCTTGAAGATTTTGATTTGCTCTGTTGACAGAGTTTATAAAGAGAGAAACAAACCCCATAACAACTTTTGTTCATCTTTTCTGCAGATGTGAAAGTGGTGTAATTGAAAAACATTGTACTTCAACTTCAGACACTGTGTGCGGAATTAAAGGTACCATTCTAAAACCTAGCATGGCCTAGCATCTGCTGTATTTTGAGAGGCTGTTGCAATTGTGCTGTTCTACACAATGGCCCATAGTTATTCCTAACAGCTAAGGACATCGTATCTACCCTGTACTGACCTGCAATGCACGATTGTCCTTTTCCCTTACCGCTGTGCAGATGTAGGAGGTATTACTCCTTTTTAGGGGCGACTCATGATAGGCAAGACTTTAACAAAGAAGTAACTTCTGACGTTAAGAGACAACAGAAAGGCTGTTATAATACAATGCAATCTTGTTCAAAATTTAGAGTGTGTTGCTGTATTGCATTTTTTGACTTAACTTTCAGCTAATGTTTCCAATGTTCCAATAGCACTGCTTTGATAATTGTGTTACTACTATTAGCAGCAGCTGGAGGAATATTCTGGTGTAAGTAATTCCCTATTCCTTATCCCTCTCATACTCCAAATAAAATATTCAGCTGCTTACTCAGATGTATTATATTCTTGGAGTGCAGAGGAGAGATGTAGTCTGTCCTGAATTTTAAAAATGTCTTTTTTGTTTCAGATAAGAGAAAACAGAAGGGCCTTACTAGCACAGACAAACCAAGTAAAGTAGTCTCCACACCAGACGTTTCTTATGTAAGTATTGTTGCTTAAATCACAAAACACTCAGCTTCATGCAAAGAATTTTGTTCCACTTAAATTACACTGAGACTCCCCAAGAACATGCATGCCTCTCTTCTATGACATTAATGAAGTAAATATCACCATGAGGACTCTTTGAGAGAAGTAAGAGAAATCTTGTATTATTTCTTCAGGATTTGTTGATGTTCTTCCTAAGTTACACCACCAAGATCAAAACTTTATCAATCATCAGGCCTTCACTGACCCAGGGTGCCTGTCCCCATGCATACTTTTAGGCAATAGCAATTCTGACATAATTCCCCAAGATTACTCAAGTCAAAAGAGGTCTGTCCATCCAATCTGATTCACTTGCTCATAAAACAGGGCACTCATGGAGAAAACTAAAAGAGAATTACAGAATTGAAGTGTCATGAAATGTGTTTATTATCTTATACAAGGTTGGTGTTTTAAAAAACTTATTTCTACTAATTATCTCTTCTCAGGAGAATGTACCTCTCATATACACAGGTAAGAAGTGATTTCTCAAAATTCAGTAGAAGAAAAAAATAGAGACAAGTAAATCCTAAACTGAAAAAAAAAAAGGTGTTTTTGTGTAGACTTTGCCATCTTAGAGCTATCATTCTAGTGCAACAGTGAACACTGATTAAAGAAATGCCAGTTCATATTGTACTTAAGGCATTTAGTGGTATCATTAAAGTTTTGCCTCAAGAGGCATTTCTGTTGTATAGGAAGTAATTACTAATTGACAACAGGTGAATTTCTGTTCTGCGTGTGATACAGACACTAGGAGGGAGCAAGCTGGATTTCTAGAATCACGGATAATTATGATAATAGACTAGTCCCACACCCAGCATTGTGACTGCAGAAATACAAACCTACCTTATGTTCAAGGGCAAATCCACACTAGTAACACAGAATAAGAAGAGAACATAAGCTCCAAGGTTCTATCATAGCAAAAGACTTGTCCTGTTCCAGGACCTTTCCAACACTATTGTGAGGAAAACAGGTACATGAGGCATAACCAGACTTTATTGATAAAGAAGGACAGAAGAGGTTACAGAGGTAACTGAGACTCTATTTCAAGTGGTAGAGAGCAATATAGATGCAATCCTAAATATCTGAATTAGCTGGCATTTGGTAGGAACACGTAAACGCAGACCTACTACATATTGTAAAAAATCACATATAAAACATACTAAGTCATGAATACCTGAAACTTAATTTGTTTTGGATAGGAAAAGTGTCTGAGCACAGGTGACAAAAACCAGTAATATACAAGTGCCAAGAGCATTAATTTTCTTTTATATTTGTAGATATTGACCTGAGCAGCCATGTTGCTGGTATTGTGGAGGAGATGACACTCCAAGAAGTCAAGACGTTTGTTCGTCATCACAAAGTACCAGAACCTGTCATAGATCAAACGGTTCGGGATTATTTTAGTGATACGTCTGAACAGAAGATTCAGCTGTTTCAAGTCTGGTACCAAAGACATGGGATAAAAGGAGCCTATGGAACCCTTATAAGCAGCCTGAGAGCGCTTAAAATGTGCACTGCAGCTGATAAAATTGAGGAAAAACTGAAGGCAACTGTTTCCAGCTGTCAGGAAGGGGGACAGTCTTACAGTGATGACACTGAGCAAAGCAAAACCTGCAGACAGGAAAGTAGAAACTCTTACAATGACAGTGCTAAGCTAAGTAAAACCTATTCTGGTAGTTTGGAAGAGACATAGCACAGAGTAATTTCAAAATTATTTCTGACTGAATTAGTATTTTTTCTAATAATATAAATAACAAAGTTTTTAAATGCCATTTTCATCGGCAGTTTGATTCAAGGAAGTTATATGAACAAGGAATAATTTGTATTTTTGTAGCAGTATCTTCCTTTTAAGAAAGTTTTAGCTTTTTAGTTTTTGAGTTGTTAAGAGCTGGGAGGAGAAGCTTTATGGCTTATTTACTAAAGACATAAGAGTCTAGTTGTAGGATTCACTGCAAGAAGAAATAGCTATTATTTGAAGAAAAGCTTCAGTCTAAATGTATGGTCCTGCATTGCTTAATCAATGTAATGTTTTGCTTATGTTAAAGTTGTGGGATGTTGCATTTTTCAAAGTGAAAATTCTGGTGTTAAGTCTATGAAGTGCACCAGAAAGAACACTTGAACAAAAAAAGTTATATAATAGACAGCTGATTAACTTTTAACATAGGTGTTCCTGTATAATTAAATTCTACTCTTTTGTAAATGGGATTTCTCCCTTGTATAAAAGTACCTCTGTGTATGTGTGCATACAGAGTTTTGTATATGTGTGCGTGTATTTATATGTGTGTGTATAAATGCAAGTTTTCTGTGTAAAAGCTCCCAGTGCTAAGTAAAAATTATTATTTTCCTCATTCTCTGCAATGATTGCAAGCCTTTTCTCTTGTTAAAACTGTTCAAAGAAGCAGGAACTGAAGCAGCACAGCAGAGCCATGGTTTTTGGAAGGCAATCTGCACAGGCTAGGAAGTCTCCATATGCAAGTGTGCAACACTAGCTTTTCTAATGCAGGAACTGATACAATAAAAAAAATAAATCCACATAGTGCATGACTTCTCTCTTTCCTTTTTATCATGCAACCTATAGATGTCATTTTTAGGTTTTCTTTTACATGGGTCATTAAATCACAAAAAAGGAGATCACTATTCTGAAAAGAAAACCACCTTACCTTTCTTCTGCCACAGAGGGCTCAGCTCCTAAATTCAAAGCACCAGTAGCACAGTGCTGCTTTGCAGTGAGGCCTTTCCAGCTCACACATCCATTTGTCCAAAGCCTCACAAAACCTTTTAACAGAAGAGGACACCTTGGTGGAAATGTTTAAATTTTCCAGGTCATGCAATAAGCAGGTTGACTTTCTCCTTTGGCTCTGCTAGCAGTTCCCTAGAGAGAGCTTCCAGCCAGTGTCTAGACTCAGCCAAAACATAAGGAGCCCAGCCAGGGCATGCTCCCAGCTGCCAGCTGGGGTGTGCCGGCATGTGGGGCAGGGTCCAATTGCTGGCACCTGGCCCTAGGGGTGTGGAACAGGCAGGGCAGGTCTGGCAGCAGCGTGCCAGGAGCCAGCAATCAACCCTCAGGCAGCACAGGGCACCCACAGCCAGCTGGGGTGGCTCCACAAGGCCATGCTGCTAGAAGTGAGGTGCCTGGAAGGGCAGCATGTGGCCCTTGAAAACAGCTAGGAATCTGTGTATGGTGTTAAGCAGGAGCCCAAAAGGAAAGGCAGGACTTAGATTAGCTTCAAAAACTTGAATCCTTTCATAGACTTGACCAGTGGAAGGTCTGCAGGGCACAGAGCATGTTTTGTTACCAAGCCCAGACCTGGTTTAGGTAGTACAGCTCTTCCCCAGGTCTCAAGCACCACATAGATGCTGAGCACTTGTAAAAGCCTTCTACCCAGCTTTGGAGCCTCTTACTTTTAACCCTTCTGCATTTTCTAAGTGTCTAATCAATCAGCTTGCCACTACTATACTGGCAAAATCCCCATGCTATGCTGCTTTTAAAAGAAAACCTTCAAGCTCCTGTAGCTGGATGGTTTAATAGCCATGCACCTATGGACTGATTAAGGCATAGCACTGTATAAATGACTTGTGTCTGTGCTATCTGTATACAGACCTGATGTGCTGCGATAGTGTGTTGCTCATTCATTGCCATGTTCTGGCCAGGTCCCACGTATATAGGAGAATAAAATGTCTGCCTTTCAGAAAAGCAGCACGGCAGTGGTGTAGGCTGTGCCATCTGTCCTAGGTTGAAGCTGTCTAGAAACACAGCCAAGACAGGAAGGAAGGAAAGCTCTGTGCTTTCACAAGCCCTGGTAGACAGGCTGCTCCCTGTACCATGTCCCACCCAGGAAGACATAAACGTAGCTTAAAGGTATGTTGGCAGATGCTTGACTTGAGCCTTGGGCTTACTTGGCTTCTGGCTTTACCTCTCAGAGTGAGCCACCTGGCCATCAGAAACTAAGATTGTCCACCTCTCAGGGCTTCAGTGGGTCAGCTAGTGTAACTGATCTGAACTAGGCAGATCTTAAAATGGAGGTACCAAAACTCATAAATTTGTGGCGGTGAAACAGAATGAGAAATTTTTCTTTCATCACACTGGAATTCCCCAACCTCAGTACAAGGATGGTTAAAAAAAAAAACAAGTCCCTGAGCAATGAGTCATATTCTCCTTAGGAGACGTCTGCAAGGCTGAAAACAGACTGCCATTAGCTCTAGTGGTTAGCATACATCACCATTTTTTTTTCTTAATTAGAACACTGTGCATCAAACGAAACAATTGATTATATTGTGCAGTTGGTTTTCCAGTGGACTGCCTGAGTGTGTCTACATTGCAGTCAGCAGTGCAGTGTAGAGATATCTGATGAAGCTTAAAGTACCCGGACCAGGGACAGGAAGAGATTGAGTTCTGCTGACCCCTGGTAACAGACCCAGATTTCCATTGCCTCCTGCTTCTGGCCTCATTTTGAAACTAGGACTGCACGGGAAAATCACACCGAGCAGGTTTTATTAGCACTGTTTCACCTTTTGCTCTCACCTTTCCTTCTCAGAAGTAAAGTCTGTGAAAAGTCTCATGCTGATGAACACGATGATGCCACCGCCTTAGCTGCTGGCTGAAATACAGTTCTGGTGTCCATGCACTGCACCTTACATGCTTGCAATGACCAGCCTCTTTCTCCCAAACAACAAGGCTGTGTCATAAGCAGTGTAAAATAACTTTGCTCAGCTTTAGGTAAGGGAAAAAAATAGAAAAAAAAAAAAAAAGAAAGCAACAGAAATTACTTTGAAAACGAAAACTCTCCTGCTTTATGAAAACCCAGCATCAGAAAAGCAAGTGGAAACTGAAACAGAAACTTGCCCAGGGAATGACTTGGCACATTGTGAAAAGCAGATTTCAAAGGGGAAGCTCCCTCTTCAGGAAGCCAGAACTTTGCAAAAGTACTTGCATTTGTTATTTAAATAGTAATACCAGAACAATTTTTATTTAAAAATAACAACAAGAAGAACAGGAACATAGAAATATAAAGCCAGAAAGATGGTCTCACTTCAGTCCCCTGCAAATCAAAAGTGACCACACAATCGAGAGGTCTGTTCAGAAATTCCACAGGTGGTTTTACTTGTGCGTCCAGACCCGATTTGCTCATCCACACTGTAAACTGTAGAATAGTTCCTGCTGCCCTGCGAGAAAACCGAACACCTGCGAGGGGACAGAAACAAGATCACTATTACAGTGTGGCACCAGAAGAAAGCATGAGAAGTTCAAGACAGCTCCAGTATACAGGATTGCTGCAATAGGAAATAAATTATTTTTAAAGTTGTCCTGAAGGCTGCCAGTTCTTGAAAGGACTTGCCTGAGAAATGAAGTGCTGAATACAGAGTCTGAAATCTTTCTGCACAGATGGCATGACAAGCATATTAAAGTGTGAGAGAGCCGTAGGCTTATTTCCTGTATGGAGAAGAGGGAAGGAAAACAATACAAAAAAATTTGTGAGAAGAATAAAACTGTATTGGGAAAGCCTTGGAGTTGGATGGTGCTCTTGTTTTGAGGGAAGACACAGCCTCAAAACTCACATTCCTCTCTTACTATTTGTCAATACTTTGATTTTGGACTTGAAAGGGAAG